TTTTTATTTTTATTTATTTTTAAAAATAATATAAATAAAACAATCATCTCTAAAATTTTAATATAAAAGTAAAATTAAAAAAATATCAATCATCTTAAAATAAAAAGAGTACTACAACCACAAATAAACATATTTTAAGATATGGTTGTGCCCCACAGATGGGAGAAAGGCTTTTTGCTGAAATAACATCAAAATTTTGGTGTAGAAATTATATGATTAGTAATTAATTCAGTCTATTTTTCTCTTTCATTCTTGATCACTCGAATCCTAGTGGTTAATGCCAGGATATAGATAAATATTTCACCCATGTACTTGCTTAGCCCACCTATGTACATAAATACAATCGCAAATTATGAACTCACTTAAACTACCCAAAACTTACAATTAAAATGGTAGTAATAAGCATTAGGAATTTTTCTTTTTCTAGTTATAATCTTTTTGAACCTTAATAAAATTCAGAAATTTTAATCTATTTCTTAAAAAAAAAAAGAATTAAATTTACTTGATTATTTACCATAGTTTTGAAAAATATCCCTTTGATTTACTCAATTAAAAAGTTAATAAAAAGAGATAAATAAACATAGCTAATAATTGAGAAAAAAAAGTTGGTACAATATTCATGTAGAAAGATATTAATATAGAATATAATGTGGCATTGGTGGATCCTATTATAGCCAAATTGAAGAAAAGAATAATATAAAAATATATGGTAAACGTCAAACCGTTAAGCTTTAAAGGTTAAAAGTGATGGTGTTAGCCATGGAATGGACGGAGGGATGAAATCTATTACTTTTTGAATAGTAGAGGGAGAACATGTGGGCTCAAAATGAAGTAGAGGGATGACCTGCGGCGATTCCATAGTACAAGGGTTAAATTGAACTTTTTAACAAAGTAGAGGGACGGCAGTTGACTTTAACCCAATTATAACCCCATGTCTGACCCAATAAAAGTCTACTGTCCTGCTCCTACTTTATTTCTATTACGTTTAATCTAAGCCGAAATACTATATGGTAAATTGTGATATAAAACAAAACCTGCACCGGAGACGAGATATAAAATGAAGACTGCATCAGTGAAGACTGGATATAAAAAAAATTGATAATGAAATTTTTAGGCGTGGATGAAAGAATATTCCTGCCGTTATAGTTACCGTGTCTGCGCGGCAGACTAAAGAAGGGCCAACCCTTGGCCTCAGGAAAAAAATTAGGAATGCAATGAGATATCTGGTACATCATTTAATATTATAAATATATGAGTTTTTTAATTTTATGTTTTTATAGCACAAGTAAAATTTATAATTGCTGTATTTTTTATAATTAATTTTTAATAAAAATATAAATATTGATTTTAATTTAATTAATTAATATAATCTAAATGCTAATCATGTTAAAATAAATATTAATTTTTATAAATTTTTATATAAATTAATTATTAAAAATGTATTTATTATACCTTTAGTTTATATTTTTTTTGAACA